CTCAAATGCTTTATATAAGAGATGTCTTTTAGGAAAAAAAAAATAACTCTTAGGATGTTTATTAACATTTTTTTGCAGTGATGGAGTGGGTCACCTGCATGACCACCATACCAGATTTAACTGGAATATCCTACTAGAGGGTCTTAACAGTGCTGATAGGCTTTGTATAAGGCCAAAGGAGTCCTTGCACAGAGCTGGGATTCCAGTGCTTGGGCATAAAGGAACTCAATTCAGCATCCACCAGGGGCTCAAGTACTTCTCATACTTGTAAAATTCTAGAGAAAGCAGGTACCACTGTAATCCAATGCTCCCATTTTACAGATGGAAGAACCAAGGCTCAGAGAAGTTCTGTGACTTGCTTGTTGACCATAAACCCAAGAGGCCTGGTGATGGTGTTCCCGGGACTGGCTGGAGGCGGTTCTACTCCCTTCTCCTGGCCTAGCAAAGTACACACGAATGCAGGTGTCACACCACCATCTGGGGGGATCTGATTTTGTGCTCACCCAGGGCTGGAAGCACTGCTGCCTTTTCAAATGGTGTGGCGGGAGCTTGTGCGCTAGGTCAAACCTCCAGTCTGGCCTCTCCCCTAGCACCCCTCCCCACACACCCAGCAGCAAAACCAAAAGGGCAATGGGAGGAGTTGAACATAACTGCGACTTAGGGGGGGGCGGGTTACTTGTGCGAGTGCCAAAGTCCAAATGAAAAAAAACAAACAGGGAATGGCAAATTGATGCACTCAGCACAAAGCTCAAACTGGACTTCTGCCTGGGTCGAGAGGTCATAGGTTCCAACTCCCTGGTGTCAAACCCCTGCCAGGGGTGCTCCGACCCCTCCCCCATCCTTGCCAATGCCAGCCTGGCAGTGGCAGGAAGTGGGAGCCGGGCAGCCCTGTCATTGCCGGCACCCATCTCTGGCTGGACAAGGCTCCTGGTGACCTCACTTCACCAAACCAATTGGTCCTCTCAGGCTCCACCTTCTACCTTAAGGTTGAACTGTGCCCTTTCTCTGTCCAGGGAGGCTCCTGCTGGCACTAAGGACACCCCTGCCACATGCTGCCACCAGGTGGAGAGCTGGTGCAAGCCAAACCCGCCTGGGGAGGCCTCCCCCCTCCACTCTCTGGGAACAGGAGGCTCAGCACAGCTCTTGTTTGCCACTGCCCCTCGGGCAGCTGATCCAAACTGGGATCGTTTGTGCAAACACCAAACATGGGCAAAAAGCAACCAGCCTGCGTGCCGTCCAGGGACTGGAGTGAGACAGATGATGCCAGGACAGGACCACCTGCCCATGGTGAGCCCCGCTGGCGGCTGGAGGGTAGAGTACCACGGGACCACTCCCACCTCTCCCTCTCCCCAGCCATTTCTTTTCCTCCAAGGTCCTCCCTCCGCTCCCAGATACAAGGTAGCGCTTACTCCTCACATTCCTGAGAATCATAAATCCTCCTGGGTGGTGGAGCCGCCACCACTCCAAGGCCTCTGCACCTCTTCTCCGCACCCCACCCCCCAACACGCTGCCCTGAGACGGTGGGGCTTCCTCTTCTTTCCTAGAAGTCACCCGACCGACTTCAGGAGGAGGATGAAGTCCAGCCGGCCTGAAGTTAATGATATACACACCAGCAGGCTGGGGGGAAGGGAGAACCCTGCCTGCGATCCCTCCCCTCCCAGCGCCGGGGCTCCGCACAGAAAAGGCGGTTGTTATTCCTCTAGCTCTTTGAAGTCGGAGCCGCGCTCGCTTCACTCCAGCTTCCGTTACCACCCACAGGGGCCGTGGAGGAAGCTGGCACCTCTGGGGCGGTGAGGGCGAGATTGCGTGGTTCCGAGGAACGGGAGCAGACCCCACCAACAGAACCCAGAAAAGGGGACCGGGCTCCCTCACCTCCCTACCAAAGACCAAGGGTCAAGAGGTGCAGGTGGTAAAGGCGCTCAGGGTCCCAGCCCTGTCTGGGAAGGGGAGTGGGGGTCGCGGGACGCAGCCCCAAGCCTGCAACCGCCAGTGCGCCCAGTCGGCGGGCGGAAGCAGTCCCTCCCTCGAGAATCGAGTTTCAGAAAGACAAGGCGGGAGCAGGGTTGGGAGTCCCGGGCGCCTGGGTCTCTCCCCGATCCCCCCTCCAACTTCGTTCCAGCCTCGCCGCTCGGCCCGGGCCCGCACTTACCCGCTCCGGAGGGCTCTTCTCGGCCTCGCGCGGCGCCTCCGCGGCGGCCGGTGGCTCAGCCTGCCCAGGCCCTTCCTGGGCGCGCAGCAGCTCCTCCCGGACCTGGACGCCCAGCTGCTGCAGCCGTTCGTCCGTCTCAGGGTCGACCACCAGCAGGCGCACGGCATTGAGCGCGGCGCGGATACGGCTCACCACCTGCTGGTGGGTCTCCTTCTCCACGTTCTCGCCGTTTACCTCCACCAGCCGGTCTCCGGCCAGGAGCCCCGCCTTCTCGGCCGGCGAGCCGGGCTCCACCAGCCGGATGAACTGGCCCATCTTGCCCTTCTCCCCGTGCAGGTGGAAGCCGTAGCCGTTCGGACCCTTCTCCAGGCAGCAGAGCCGGGGCAGGGGCGGCCCGGCCGCCGCGTCCGCGCTCATCTCGCCGTGGGACGACTCAGCAGCGCGCCGCGGGGTCGGGTCGGGGTCCGGAGATGGGACGGTCCAGCCCTTCTCCCCGCCCTGCGGACCAGGGGGCGGGAGAGAGCGCGGCAGAGAATTCCCGCACCGCCGGACAGGCCGAGCGAGCAGGTGTCCCAAGAGAGGCTGCCACGAGCAGCAAGGAGCCAAGCCAGGAGCGCGCGGACCAATCCCCGCCCCGCGCGGCGTCTGAGCGTTCTAGAACCCGCCCAGGTCCCTTACCCCGGAGGCGGGGCCGCGCTGAGGGTGTGGGCCACCGCGGGCCAATCAGAGACCAAGAACAGGGGGCGCTCGGGCCGGGTGAAGGACGCCGGCCAATGGGAACGCGCAGGGGCGGGGCCGTGCGCTCGGCGCGGTGCCCCGCGGCGGGAGAAGAAAGAGGGTTCAGGAAGTGGAAGTGTTTGTTACCAAGTGGCCGGAGTTGAGGCGGGGGGCGGGGCGAGTTCCCGGTACCGGGCGGAGGGGCCCGCAGGCTATGTTCTGGTTTCCCCCACCTGTGGCGGGGATTGAGGAGAGCCAACCCTCGAGTAAAGGACGCTAACGTTTTAACAGCCTTTAGCCAAAACCTTGTGTGCAGCTCCAATTGAGGGGGGGAGGGGGCGACTGTTGCCGGGGAAACCGCTCCCGCTCCGGGGCTGCGAGGTCCCAGCGGTGTGAGGAGTAAGACGGAGGTCCACTTCGGACCCAGCAGAGTTGTCTGAATAACGATATTTTCCCATTTGCGGAGTCACTTTGCGCTGTCCCAGGACCTGCTTATAGGAGTGCGGGCTCTGATCCTGGTTGGGACAGTGCGAGGGTCTCAGCAGAGAGCCCAGGCTTTGCGCGGCTGCCCACCGAAAAAGGCCACCTAGGTAGGGCAATGGCGTGGGCATTGGCGTCAGCGTTCGGCTAGGGAGGTGGGGTGGAGAGAGGCAGAACAGAGTCAGGTAATCATCTCTGGGTATAGTCTCCAGGGCAAGGAGACCTGGCTTTTTTCAATAGAGAAAGAATGATTAGGACCGTAAGATAAACCTTTCAGTTCCTTCTTGCAGATGAGAGGCTGGTCACAGAGGCTGAGGGGTGGTCTGTAAAGGATGAGGTGACCAGTTGGGGACATTGAAGGATGAGGATCAAGTGATTTTGGCTGTCAATGACAGTTCCCCCAGCATGCAATAACGATCCTTTCAACATGACTCCCGCCCCATGGGCACCTCAAAGAAGCAGGGGACAGTGTGTACTTTCCAAAATACTGCAGTTTAATTCTGGAAAACACAAATGCTGGAGGCCCAGAACAACCTACATGATTGGATCGCCTGTGACCTGCCTTGGGCCCCAGAAGAGCCGGCAAGGTCAGGTTCCTCCCTGCTCTGCTCGGGAGAGCTTCCTTATCTGGCCCAAGTTGGAGCTGCTGACTCTGTTCAGAGAGCAAGATTTCTGCCATGGAAGCAAGTGCAGTAGCCTCAGAAATGTGCAGTGCATGCCTCTTTCTATCCCTCTCCCCTGCCCCTGACTTGGAGAGCTGGAGCAAAGGTGTCTCTCCCCACCCATGGCCCAGAGAGCTGGAGTAAGGTGCTCTAGGTCATGACCTTCATGTACCCTGGCCCTTCTGATTGCTGGGGTAAGGGCTTTGGGAGAGTTGTGACCTTCGCTCACGTAACTCCTTGCCACCCCTTCCCCACCCCAGTCTTACCCACATGACCTTGTTTTGCACACATTGCATTGGTTTACCAGAATTGGATGACCTCTCACTCTCTAACCTGGCTCAGTAGAAAGGGAGATAGAGCAGTTTTGAGTCTGCGTCTGTCTGGGAAAAAATGGGCGTGGGTGTCAGGGAGGAGGCAGCACTTGGGTTTAGGGGCATACACGTAGGGCAAGGTTTACTCAATTCTGCCTCCCACCTGCTCCAGGTGGTTTCTCTTTATCTGGTTTTTTCCCAGTAGAAGCACTACAGCTGCTTGAAGTAGCCTGGGGGCTGCATACCTGCTAAAGGGTTGGGACAGAAGAACCACCTTTCCCTAGCTGGGACCTTAGGTGTGTAGGGGCACAGCCAGAAAGGTAGATAAAACCAGGGATTCATGGAGGAGGGGCTTCCCTGGGATTTGAGGTCTGGGGAACAGGAACCAAATGTTTCCAGGTGCCCCAGTGTGCTTGTGGGCTGGAGGGAAAGGGTACACCTCCTGGAGGGGCGTTAGTAGGGCCAGAGGTAGCCAAACAGACCTAATCTCTGCTACTCCTCTCTCCCCCTCCCAGGGAGCTGAGTCCCTGCCCAATCTCCATATCTCCTATCTTCCCTGAGGTTTTGGTCTAGCTCCCAGCACAAGGGCCCTGTCTTAGTGGGGAAGATTGTTCCCTGGGAAGCTGGAGGACATGAAGCCTCTCTCCAGCTGAAGTGAGAGTGGGAAGGGGGTCACTGAAGTGCATCAGTGTCCCCTGGTGCTGAGCTGAGCAATACTGCCCTCATTGTGGCTAGGAGGTAGGCCCCGACCCCTCAGTCCTAGCACTAGAAGGCAAAAGGGCCACCAGGTCCTTACCTGGGCTTTCTGGTGCCTTTTTTTTGTATTAAATTGTGTATCATTAAAATGAAATATAAATATTTTACCCTCCCTGGAGATGCAGGGATGTCCAGGAAGTAGGTAGGGCAGGAGTACAGCTCCCTCTTGGGAAGGAAGGCCTGTGCACTGGGTCCCCCAGTTCTCTCCCCACTGGCTTAGCTGCTCAGAGTAAGCCAGGTCTGGGGGAGAAGGCTGCATCCTCGTGGGCCTCTGGAGCCTCCTCTCAGCCCCTTGGGAGTCACAAGAAGGAGCAGCAGCCAGGCCGCTTCTTCTGGGACTCCACATAGTCTCGGATCTGGAAGCTGGGTTCATCGGCCTGCTGCCTGGCTCTGTGTTTCAGCTCCCTGGAAGAAGAAGAAACAACGGGCTGGGTACGGAGTGAGGAGCTGAGCATCCTCCCCACTCCTATGGCCCGGGGCAAATGGACCTCAGACTGCAGAAGGCAGTTGGGCCCAGGGGCTGGCGGGGGAGGGGGGCCAGGCCGTACTGGATTCCCAGATGGTGCCACCCTGCCCCGCACGGTTCCCTTCCCTGCTCAGCTCTCACTTGGCAATGGCCAGAAAGGCTAACTCCACATTCATGCCTGTCTTGGCACTGGTCTCCATGAAGGGAACTCCATACTCCTGCCAGAGAGAGAGTGTCTTCAGGGCTAGCCTGTGGCTGCCCCCACCCCTCACCCTGCCCACAGGCAGTCACTTACCCTGGCCAGTGTCTCTCCATCCTCCGAACGGATCACTCGTTCATTGTTCACATCCGCCTGTCAAGCCCAGGTGGGTCACTCTGGGGAAGGAAGCCTTGACCCCAGCTGGCCCTGCCCCTGGCTGGCCTATTCTTTGCCCCAGGAGCAGGCACTACCCGCCCTCTGCTGGTGGCCTGCAGGACTGCAGGTGGCACGATGGGCATGAGGCCAGGGTTTCTGGGTTGGTCAGGCTGAGTTACCAGCTCCCAGCCCTGGGATCTCACTCCTCCTGGGGGAGGTGGGTAACTCTCCTTGGTACGGGTGTGGTGAGCCAGCCTCAGAGGGGTGGCAGTAGTTGGGGCTAACCCTTTCCAGTCTTAGCTCCTCATCCGTGACCCTCATCACGACCATCTAATAAGGGCTGAGCAGCTGGGCAACCGTGGGTCTCTCAGGTAGTAGCTTGAGCTTTCCCTGCAGGGGACCGTTTCCAAAGCTTTAAGAGGGCAGGTGACATGGGCTGAAGCTGCCAAATAGGTCTGACTCCTGAACTGGAGACTGAAAGAGTCCTTTGCTGGAAGAATGTCCAGCTAACACTCTTGGGTGGCTATGGGGCTGGTAGAGCTAATGCTGTGGCAGTGGGAGAGGAGAGGGGTGGGCTGACCCTGCTGTGGAGCCACTCACCTTGTTGCCTAGCAGCATGATCACCACATCCCTCTGGGCATACTCATGGATCTCAGTGAGCCAGGCCTGTGGGAGAGGGTGGGCTGAGCCAGGCTGAGGCTGAGCACTAGCCATTCTCCCCCTCCCTCTGGCCCTTCCTTCTTCTATTTGATTATCCTACTCACTGACCCCAAACATGATGCCCTGTGCATTGTCTCATCTGCATCTTTGTTCTGGCCTCTCCAGTCCTGAGTGGCCCCAAACCCCATGTGTTGCAAGTCTCAGTTCTATGGAAGATAGAGGTAGCAGAGGCTTTACCTCATAAATCAGTTGGTAGTCACCAACAATTTCCTGGAGTGCCCTGTTGAGGATTGTACGGCCACATACGGGCTCAGTGATCAAAAATACTGTGATTGATTAGTGATGTCTGCCATGAGCATGGAGTTGGAGGTGGCAGTATGAGTGCCATGGATTTCTATCCAATTTGTAAGCTGTTTTATATCTACATGTCTTGTTCCTCCAATTTGTCAACTCTTTGAGGTCAGGGAACATATGGAACCTTTACAGTACTGTGCTCAGAGTCAATGCTTGTATTTGTTGAATTATTATCTCTACTCTCTAATAGTTTGGTTGTGAGGACAGAGCCACTCACTCTGTCTGCCTGAGTCACTTTCTTACAACTTGGGCTGGATGTCTGGATAGACTTTTCTGCTTGGACTCTCCCCTTGGTTTCTGAGGGTAATTGTCCAGGCTCGAGCTAGGGACTTTCTGACTACTTTGGCATGAAACACACTCATGAATCACAGTCAGGGCCAAGTAGGTGGCACAGGCACACAGCAGCCTGCTTGGCCTTCATGCCCACATGCCAATCAAATACCCAAGAGCAGCTTATTACTTCTGAGTCACAGTTCAGGTGTTTTTGAGAAGGCAGTGGTGTTCCATGCTCCACCCCCTTCCCACGAAGCAGGAAGCAGTCCACACGTGCACAGACCCTGCCTTGGCTGCTTATGGGTGGTGGGTAAGGATGACTTACCCGGATGTTGTCGAAGGAAGACTTGTTGGTGATGTCGTACAGCAGGAGCAAGGCTGCAGGGGGAGAGAGAGGTTACACTGGGGACTCAGACTTCACACAGAAGGTGGATGGTACAAGTGGGCTGGGGGAAGGAGGTGGAGGGCACAAGTCACTTACCCTGGGCGTCTCGGTAATAAGCGTGGGTGACGCTGCGGAACCGCTCCTGTCCTGCTGTGTCCCAGATCTAGGAAGGGATGGACAAATGGTCAGAAGGAGGCAGGGTGCAGGGACTGTGCTGGGCAGAGGAAACCCACGTTGTGGTACGAGAGAGGTGTGGGAGGGTGGGACCTTTCCTTCTTTAGGTTCTCATGGGCTTCTGAACATCTGGTGATGTCCTGGACGGTGGTAGTTACTGAGTTCTCAAGCTCATTCAGTGCTGTTGCCTCTTCCCCAGCCCAGGGGCTGAGGGTGTCCAGCCTCCTAGAGCAGATGAGGCCCGGGAAACTGGGGAGGAGATAGAGGGAGGCTAAGCTGTCTGAAGGCACTGGGCTGCCTTGGATAGAAGAGAGGGTGCCTGGGAACTGCTTTTTCTGCAGATGTCAAACAAACAAAAGCCACTTCCTCTCGTGGGCCCCACAGGAAATTACCCCAGGCTGAGGGCAGGGCTGCAGGCCTCCTGTGGTTCGGGTGAGGAGCAAGGGCAGACTCCTCCCTCCTCTCCCTCCCCCGCAGCCTCTGCTCTCACCTGAAGCTTCACCCTCACACCATCCACGGTCACCACCTTGTTCTGAAAGAGAAAAAGGCAGAGGGAGAGGTGGGTGCTGAGGACACGAACGGCTTGACTCCTGCGCTCTGCTGACACTCTACTGAGGAGCAAACATCCTGTCCTGGTCACTCCCCAGGGCTAGAGGGGGTGTGGTGAGCCCCAGAGATGTCTCCAGGCAGATCACCCCATCAGGGCAGCGGGACCCTGTACCCAGATACCCTCACTGCGGAGTCCTCTCTTCTGGGGACTCTGTTTGCTCTTCTCACAACACACCAGGGCAAGGGGAAGCCTGAGAACCTGCCTGGCTCTCCCAGGGCTCAGCAGGCTGCACAGGGCTGGACACTGAGGGCTCTACCCCTTCCCTGCTTCCATCTGCCTCTTCTGGAGCTCAGTCCCATCCTGCAACTGAGCCCTTAGAGATGGGATGCCCACCAGCATCCCGGGGACCTTGGAGGCTGGGTCTGCAGGGTCGCCTTTCCTCTAGCTGCTCGCTGGTTCTCCTAAGTGAGGCTTCCTTCCTTTCTCTTTGGGAGGGAGTCCCCCGCCCTCTGCACAGCCCCACCTGTCTGCGTTAGACCCTTACTCTCGACCCTTTGTGTGTGAAGTGCTCGGAGTGCTCAGCATCCCTGATGCAGATTTGTAAAGATGGGTTCATCAAGGTGAGAGGGAGGGACCCTGGCAAGCTGCTCTCTCCCCACAGGGCCAGCCCAGCTTAAACATAGTGCAGTGCTTTGTTTCCCCGGAACTCCAGCAAGACTGCTTAACTGTTGAGGTCTTGCCAGAGGGGCCCAGCTCAGAGGGCAATGAGCAAAGGGGCTGAGGGCCAGGAAGCTCAGCTCACACCGTGGGATGTGTCTGCTCCGCTCGGGGGCAGAACTTTGCAACTCAGTCTCTCATTTCTCATATCCTGTAGGGGGGCAAGGAGCCCACCAAGCCCAGACTCCTCTAACCTGGTCCCCTCTGTCGTCCCTAGGGGAGCACCCCCAGTGCCCTCCGAGCAGTGAGCCACAGCAGCCCTGAGGAGCCAGGGCGGGCAAGGAGAGGGCAGTACCCTTGGGTCTGAGTCGTAGCCCCCTGGCTCGCTGCTGGGAGGAGGAGCCTGCAGCCACCTCACCCTGAAGTCTATGCCGACGGTGGCTATGAAGGTCCCGGACAGGAAGGCCCCATCTTTGAATTGTATCAGGAAACAGGTTTTGCCGACGCCCGAGTCTCCCAGAAGCATCACCTAGGAGTTGGGGGCAGAGGCAGTTAATGGGGGGTCGGGGCGAGTGTCTGTGTTTCCAGGGAGAGAGGCCCTGGAAAGAGGCGCAGAGGGCCAGGGGGGATGCTGACTACACCGAGGGGCACCTGCTTCTGGAAAGCCTGCTGCTGCCTTCACCCTGCCTCTCCTCTCCACGCTCCTCAGCTCAGTCCACCTCACACACTCTCCCTCTGACCCTCCTGTCCTCACCCAATTTCCTGGAACCCTGAGTTGAGACCTCAGCACTAACAGGTCCCCATATGTGCTCGGAGGCTCCAGCAAAAAACCACATCTGTGTGGTCAAGACTCTGGCCACATTTGTCCCCTGCCACACCATGCCGGGATTCCTTCCCTCCCTGCATGCATTCCACACGTTTGTGCACACACAGGCGGGGCTATACTGCCCGAAAGCAGACGTGTCAATGCCTCAGACAGGGCTTCACACCAGGGGAGTGTATTAGGAACTGACTGGGGTGGGACTCTGTCGTTTGCAAAGGTGTATTCTAAAATTATGTTTTTTTTGGTGACGACATTTATTTGGAAGTTTCTAATGACATTTTATGTTTATAAAAAGGCTGCATGAATTAGAGAAGGTTGAAATTTATACTGAAGTGGGGAGACGTTTAGTCTGAAGCTCCTGTGGCAGAAACCTCCTGTGGGACAAATGGCTGCCAATTGGCATCCTTGGGTCATTGTAGGGGAGGAAGTGTGTGGGGTGGGGTGTGTCCCTCCCTTATTGTCTGGCCAGTCTCTGCTCATCTTCTCTGAGGGATGGGTGGGGGAGGGGAGCCCTCTGTCCAGTCATTCCACAATCTTGGAGAACAGAGGTCTAGACCTAATGGTGGAATTTTCCCAACTGACTGGTTAGATATTTAACGGGTTGAGCAGTGACTAGGTTTGAGTTATTTTTAAGGCTCTGACCTTGACCATGGAGCCCAGAGGCTTTCCTGCTGTGGGCGTGGGGTATGGGATTAGCTAATTTGGGTGGAGAGATAGGGGGCTGAGCAGAAGGTACATGAAGGCTGAGGTCCTGGCTTGTAATTCCTTAACTCTTTTGTGCCATGGTTTCCACAGTGGCTAGAAGGGAGGAGAGAGAATTTCTTTGAGGCCTGTCTAGAGTCTGTTAATGGCTAAGGCCAATAATGTGGGTGTGAACCACCTAAGACTTGGGGAAGAGTGGCCCGGCGGGGGCGGGGTACTGCCTGCCTGTGGCCCCCATCCCCTCTAATCCAGCCCACAGAGCTCCCACCAGGCTCCTCTCAGACTGCCCTGGACTCAGTCTCCTGGGGCAGGCCTAGGGCATGCAGGCTGGTAGAGGCCAGGGGCCAGCTTTCTGCAGATGCTTTTTGGCCCAGGGGCCAGAAGGAGGGCTGGGGCTGGGGAGCCCCCTGGGGACTGCACTGCTCCCTGGCTCCTGGGTCCCCGGCCCCGAGGGGGAAGAGAGGAGGGAGGGCGAGTGCGTGTGTACTTTACAGATCACAGCTGCCTTGAGCAAACGATGCCAGCCATCCACCCAGCCAGGCAATTCCACCAAACACAAACAGCTGCGCAGCCTTGCCACCTCCTAGGCAAACAGCCCAGCTGGCTTGTCGGGCAAGGGGGTCAGGCAGTCCCCACCAGCCTGGAGACTGTCCTTCAGCAGCTCCCCCTCCCCTGAACGCACAGGGGCCCGTTTCCTGCCTTGAGCCCACACAGGACGCTTATCTCAACGGCTCTGGGCTTGTGACTTGCAGAGTGGCTTCCCCTGAAATGATGGGGGTGGAGGCCCCAGGCTCCTAGCGAGAGTGAGCCCCAATGTGGGGGAGGAAACCAAGGCACAGAGAGAGACAGGTCTCCTTCAAGGCCACGCAGCATGAGACAGTTTCCCCAACCCTACTCATGGATCCCCAACCCTACAGAGGAAGGGTGGAAGCTCTGGGCTCCCTCAGCACCTCCTTCAGAGTTCCTGGTACCTGCCTGCTCCAAGGGCACAGAGAGAGGGCAGACAGACCGGTGTCCATTGCCACCCGCACCTGCTTCCGCACAGGGCCACCCTGCAGAGGGAACGAGCCCCAGAGAGCTGACTTAGCTCTCCCAGATGAGGGACTTGTGACTAACTGCTAAGATCTTTCTCAGGTTCTAAAAATTCCCAAGTGGGCCTGCATTCTGGCTAGCAACATCCTCCTGGAAGAAAGTGCGAGGCAGTGACTGCAGGGATGGAAAAGGAAGGGGTAGGACTTGTGGGCAGCTGGGAACCTAAAGAATTTTGGGCCTAAGGCCTTGAAACTGACGCCAAGTCTCAGCTGAGCTTACCTGGGAAGAGGGCATTAACCGCAAGTTTCCCCGCCGCCAGGGGGCGTCCTTTCTGAGTCCCATTTCCTATCACCTGGAGGGCTGTGCGCCTAACCCCCACCGAGAAGCATGGGGTTGCTGGGGGCTCGTATTGGCCGGAGTGTGGCAGAAGAAAATTGGGTTGGGGTTTGCAGGGTGGGAAGTCACTCAGTCCTCCCGACCTTCCTCTCTCCGCCCCCGCAGAGACCCCACCCCCCCATCCCTAGAGGTTGGGCTGGGCCCGGGGGCTGTGTCTCGACTCTTCCTCCCTACTCTGGGAGACCCGGCTGCCTGGGGGAAGGGTTGAGTCCAACGCAGAAGCAGCGGGAAACGGGCTTGGGCCGGGGACGACCAGGGTCTCAGGGCAAAGGGCGCGGGGAGGGTGGCCCTCGGAGCAGGCACGGGAGTCCCCAGCGCTGGGCGCAGTGCCCACCCACCTTGCCCGTGAGATCGTAGCTCGGACTGCAGGGCGGGGAGCGCTCGGGGGCCTCGCCATCCCGGGTGGCAGCGGCGCCAGGCGTGCCTGTCATGTCCCTGGACGAGAGGTGAGCTGGGGCAGGCGGCGGGCGAGGGACAGCGCAGGAACGGCCCCGCCTTAGGCTCCACCCACTCCTTCCCCTCTCCACCACCCCGACCCGGACCCCTACAGGCTCCTCCCTCCGTCCTGCCGCCCCAATGACACCGGCCCGGAGCGGGCTGTCCCGCAAGGGCGCGCAGGACAGCAGGGTCAACCGAGGGGGAAGCCCGGCCCCCTGAGCAACACTGGCCCGGCTTCGTGCTCAGAGGGCATGGGCCAAATCCAGCCCCAGGACCGGTCCCCTAAGGTCACCAGCCGCCAGGGTTAGGTTCCCATGGGGAGCGGTCCCTGGAGACCCCGCCCGCTGCGGAAGTTGTGGCATCGCTGGGACCCGCGCGGGCGCCCGGGTTCTCGATGCCGCTGCGCAGCGCGGCCAGCAGGCGGCGCCCGAGCCCCAGCCAGCGGGCGGTCAACAGGTGGCCCCGGGGTCGGAGTCGGGGTCGGCGGTGGGAGAGGCTGGGGACGCCCCTGGGCAGCCGGCGCTGCGTTTGAGAGGAGGCGTGCGTTCTGACGACAGCGCCCTGGCAGTTTCGCTTTTGCTAATGCACCCAGCCCTAGCTCATCTGAGTATAATCTTGTTTACGGACCAATAGTCACCTGGTAGCACGTTTGCACTGGGGTTTTTCGGTGCCTCTGGTGGGTGCTCAGACTTTGATCCTTTAATGTCCATCACCTCTCACGTCTCTCTCACCTGACATTTTGCTGCACCCAGAATGTCCCACCATGGGAAAGGGTACCCCCCAACATCCTCACACACCTCCCAATCTAGGCGCTGCTGAAGTCAGGGCTGGCCTTATTCAGTGCAGCCCTCTGCCCCTGGCACCAAGTACGCCTTAAATGTTTGGTATCAAATGAATCCATGAAGTCGTGGATCATTTTGAGGAGAGTCTCCAGGACGTCCCAGGAACCCTGCAGCTCCTGGTGACAGGGTGGGAGTGTATCCTGGGTTTCCCATAGCAGAGTTCAGGGGCTCTGTGGCCTGGGCCAACACTTCTGTTACCCCTGTCCCAACAGAATAAGGTAAGTGCATGACAAAGGGACTGTTTGATTTGAGGGGTGTGTGTGTGTGTGTGTGGGGGGGCACCTGCATGTCTTTGCTTAGGTGTTGGTGATGAGGGGCAAGGGGCAGGTGTGGCTTATGGGCTACTGTAAGCCCCATGGGGACTGTGTGTACATTCGCCTCCAGCCCTGTGATTTTTGGCGTCAGCTGGAGCTATTTTCTGGAGGTGGGCCTGCCATAGCCTCATCTGTACATAGGGTGGGACTCAGACAGGGAGCCCTATGTGGGAGAGACGCTGCACAGCACTCTGCAGGTGTGTGTTATTGCCCGCTGTTGGCTGCCAGAGAATCTTGTTGCAAATAACACCCTGGTCCATTTGATGCCCTGGGCTCTGGCTCCCGAGGGCTCACCAGGAAGCCTGCAGAGGTGAGGGCGTTCAGTGCAAGAGGGTAATGGCTGAGGAGAAACGAGAGAGGGGAAGTGGCATGGCCCTTGCTCACCTTCCACTGCAAACCATGTCGCGATGGGCTGATTGTGTCCCTCAGAAGAGATGTTGCAGTCCTGACCCCCAGAATCTCAGAACATGACCTTGTTTGGAAATAGGGTCATTGCAGATGTAATTAGTTAAGACGAGGTCACACAGGAGTACTGTGAGACCTCAGTCCAATATGACTGATGTCCTTATGAGAAGAGGAGAAGATGCACAGGGACAGGATGGCCGTGTGAAGACACATGTGTCTACAAGCTAAGGGATGCGAAGGATTGCCAGGAGCCACCAGAAGCTGGAAGAGGCAAGGAAGGATCCTTCCGGTGTCAGAGGGAGCATGGCCCTGCCGACACCTTGATTTTGGGTTTCTAACCTCCAGCTGAGGTTTGTGTTGTGGGCCTGACCAAGATCCTCTTTGTCCTGCTCTAGGTTTGGAATGGAGAAGGTTGCACATCAGTGTGAATGCTCCAGAAGTCATAGAGAAATAAAACCACTGTCTTGCTGCATTGCTGCGCTAGAGTTTGGATGGGCTGATGGGACTGAGGGAAGAAGTCCATGAACAGGGCAGAGAGGTGCAGCACGCTCTCCTCTGGGCCATACCTGTCCAGCCCCCTGGGTCTGGGTGTGTGGGCAGCGTCATATGCAGAGTATGTCACACATTGTCTGCTGGGACATGGCAACATCAGGTGGCGCGTTCAAGGGCAGCCTCGGGTGTGTCAGAAGTGGGACAGGGTCAGGGATGTTCAGCGGGGGATGCAGGGGAAGTGGGTTTTGCCCCAGAGGGAGGAAGCACAGCTCACTAAGGGACGGGGGGCTCTTTAGATCTGGTGGCCAGGAGAGGGCCCATCGAGAACACAGCCTCCAGGAAGTCCAGGCCTCCCGACCTCCTCCCAGTGCTGTGGACCCCTGCGGGAGTCTGCATCTCTCCCCAAACACACACACCTCGCACCATGCACATACCTCACACCACATGCACACCTCACACCACGCACACATCACACCATGCACACAGATCACACCATACATACCTCACACCACACAAACACCTCACACCATGCACACACCTCATACCACGCACACACCTCACACCACGCACACATCACACCACGCACACCTCACACCACGCACACATCACACCACGCACACCTCACACCACACACACAGCTCACACCATGCACACATCACACCACGCACACCTCACACCATGCACACAGGTCACACCATACATACCTCACACCACACAAACACCTCACACCACACACACACCTCACACCACACACACACCTCACACCACGTACGTACTTCACACCACGCACACCTCACACCATGCACACATCACACCATGCACATCTCACACCACACACACACCTCACACCACACACACAGCTCACACCACACACACATCACACCATGCACACATCACACCACACACATACCTCACACCATGCACACAGCTCACACCATACACTCACCTCACACCACACACACATCATACCACGCACACACCTCACACCACGCACACACCTCGCACCACACACCACACACACACCTCACACTACACACACATTACACCACACCACAAACATACACACAACCCCTTATGCCACATACACACCTCACACCATGCACACCTCAAATCACACCAGAGACACACACACCTCATACCACACAAATGCCTCACATCACACCAAAAGTTTGGGGTTCCCCTGGTTTTGTGTCCCAGCTGAGCAGCAGGGTGTGTGCCCATTTGTGCTCCCAGGTCATGCACTTGACCCAGGTGTCCCCACACTTAGGCCCGGGTCAGGCCCTCAGGCCCTCACTCAGCATAAGCTGTCCATGGGTTTGTCCTGAGGTGAATCAATCCTTCCCAGTGCCGACTGGTGCCAGGCAAACCGCCGAGGCTCTAGAAGGCCCAGTCCGAGGAGAGAGGGAGGGCCCGGCCTGTCCTGTCTCTGGCGGCTTCGGGTTCTCAGTTTGACCACACACTCTCTTCCTTCTCACAGACGAGTTGCCTCACTTTTCTTACCAGGCTAGTGGCAAAATTTGGAGGTCCCACCTGTGCATCTGTGGAGTGTGAATCAGAATTTGCACCCCCCCATGCCCCTACAGAATTTCCAAACCCACACCACTGTGTCCCCTCTGCGTCTCACAGGCAGAAGGGCAGGCGTGGAGTGGGTGAGGAGACATGCGTGTGGCTGTGAGGGCATCGTGTGCTCTGTGTGCTGAGGAGCAGACCAGGCATGGGCCCGCGGAGAGGGATGCCTGGCACCAGACATCCTGGTTCGCTTCATGGCAGCCTGGTCAAGGCCTCAGAGATTGCCAGGGCTGCCTGGCCTCCTGGGACTCAGGCCCGCCCTTCCCGGCACTCTGGAGCCCAGCCGCTCCTTGTCCCCAGAGAGCCCTGGGCGCTGGCGTTTCGGGCTGGATTCCAGCCCTGGCACACACTCGGGCCAGGTTCTCATTTCTGCTTCACTCGGAAGCCATGCCCATCCTGGCCCCTTGCCTTCCTCACAGTGACCCACTGGGCAAGCCCAGTTTCTGGGGTTCCCTCCCTCTCTTCCCACCAGCGTGGCACTGCTGCGTCCCAACCCGAGTGTGGCCTCACAGGCCTGTGCTCTGCTTGGTCCCAGAGGCTGGCCTCTCAAACACCCACACTGCCCAAGAAATGATGTTTGCTCTGCCCCGTCTCTGGACACTGGGATTCTGGGGACTCCAACGGAGGACCCTCTACTCGTGCCACAGGCCAAGAGAGGAGCGAAACCCTCCCCAAAGGCCTTCCCAGGATCCCAGAGTCACTGAGAGCAGCCAGCAGGTGTGACAGTGCAGAGAAATTACAGTGTGTCGCGGAGGGAGAACTTCCTGGCCCACAGAGGGGCCATGGAGAGAGCTTGGAAATACTTCCTTAATCTGAGCCGCCCCTCGGTGCTGTGTCCAGGGAGAGACAGTGCTAAAAACTGAACTTTAACCTTTGACCTGTCAGTGCCCTAGGACCCCATGACAATGCTAAGTTTGGACTGTGCTTAAGATTTTAAGCCAATCTTTGCCTCTCTAGATTCTTCTTGCCTTGAAAGGTGGATCTGAGCAATCTGTATCAAGATACCCCCTTGCTTTCTAGGTTTTAGTTGTGTTCAGCCAATGGGGAGCCCCAGAAGGAGAGGGGGGAGCAGGAGGAGAGCAATGTGGGAGGGGACCAATTTATTGCTCAGGAGGGTTACTATGGGTGGCTTTGTCCCTCCCTGGAGAGTTACAGCTCCTGCCAGCCAGCCCTCTCCACACAGCCCTTTGCCTCGGGTTCTTGCGACCGTTCCTTCCTCTCACCTTTTTCAGGTTAGGGGTGGGATGGAGGCCCTGTCACTACCCAAGGGCACTGCACCATCCCTCCTGGTTTCCCAGCCCCCTGCCTACACCTTGGTAAATAGTCTTTTTATTAAACCTCCTTGAGTGATCCAGTGTGAGTGTCCACCCGTTGCCTGCTGGGACTCTAACAGGCACACCAAAGCCCAGAGCCTGAGAGTGCTTACTGTGAATCCGATGCCCACGGTGGCAGAGAAGGAGCCGGGGATGAACTTGCCCTGGTCAAACTGAACCAGCAGAGATGTCTTCCCCACGCCACTGTCGCCCACCAGGATGGTCTGAAAGGGAGCGACAGAGAGAGGTTAGGGGCTGCAGTGTGAATTAGGCTTCCGAGATGTCGTGTGGCTACAGGAGTGGGTTCCTTCTAAACAGACATACACATGTGTGCACACACAAACATACCTGCCATACACGCACAAACACACAGAGACACACTCACACCCACAATGCACACAGACACACACACACCCCAAACTCTTGATTTCCTATTGAAGTCACTGAAGAAGGCATGAAAGCATAGAGGAAAGGGCCGGCCCCGTGGCTTAGCGGTTAAGTGTGCGTGCTCCGCCGCTGGCGGCCCGGGTTCAGATCCTGGGCGCACACCGATGCACCACTTGTCAAGCCATGCTGTGGCGGCGTCCCGTATAAAGTGGAGGAAGATGGGCACGGATGTTAGTCCAGGGCCAGTCTTCCTCAGCAAAAAGAGGAGGATTGGCATGGATGTTAGCTCAGGGCTGATCTTCCTCACACACACACAAAAAAAGCATAGAGGAAGTCTTGTTTCAATCCAAGTTAATAAACATCTGAGGTGAACGTGAGTATGTGCCTCTCAGACTTCCAGCCACGGGCGTAAGTGGCTGAGGCCCCACTGCTGTGCTCTGCAATCCATCATTGGTGTGTTTGCACCAAGACTACGCTTCCCACTGGCAATTCCCAGCCAAAGGCAGAGTGTGGCAGAGACATTGAGGCAGGCCTGTTCCTGGGAGACACAGGAGTCCCCTAACAGCTGACTTCTGCTCGAGGACTCCCTCACAGTTTAACAGAATCTTCCAGACACTGCACAGTGGTCTAGGACCCTTCCACGCAACCGCCCTGTCCTCTCTCCTTCACTTGGGGTCGGACCTGCCTCCTGGCCTGACGGTTCTCCCTGCCTCTCCTGGTTCCTATCCCGTTTCTCTCATAGATGTTTCCCCTAATAAAATTCTTGCTCATTTAATTTCCTTTTGGCATCTGCTTCTTGGGAGACCTGGACTAACACAATGGGTCTCCTGTACGGGAAAGGCTAAAAAAATGGTCTATAGAATTAAAAAAGTATCAAGATGTCTGGCTGTATGCCTTGGGAAGAGTTTGCACTTGGCCCTGGAACAAGGCCTTGGAGAGGACAACATTCAAAGAGAAGTAGAATTTGGGAAAGAGGGGAAAGGCTACTTCTGTACCTGGAGGACGAAGTGGGGAGAATCAGCACGGGAGTTCAAGTGCTGGATGTGAAGGAAAATCGTAAGCAACAGAGAAGAAATATACATGCACCCAGGGGCTGGTACCCAGCAGTCTCTCAATGAATGAATGAATGAATGGATAAATGCCTTAGTTTCAAAGTGAACAATAGCCACTTTCCAAAGGCAAACATTCAGAGGTGGTTGGGAAGGCTTAGGAGATGCCAACTTTAGCTGGACTTGCAAAAACATCAACATATAAAAATACAAAAATGTAAAAGCATAAAGATTGACAGGGCCTCCTTGGGTCAGGCCCATGGCTCCAGTACTGTTTGGATCTGACAGTGGCATCGATTTGGTGGTAGGGCAAACACGAGGTTGTTCATGATGTTGACTTTGGACGTCCCCCAGACTGCGGTCCTTCACCCTCACTTCCCAAAGCAAATTCAATTCAGCTTTTATTTCCTCCTGGATTAAAGGGCTCCATTTGTTTGTTGTGTGCAGTGGCTTTAATAATTTACATCTCAAATCCTTTCTATATCCAAATTCCTCAGGCTTGAAGAAGTGCTTCCCAGAGAGAATATTCCAGAATGTGAGGGGTCAGTGCATCCATGTCCACCTTGTTCATTTACTAAAGGATATAACAGATTCTAATTCTTTTCCCTTTTATCTTTTTCCTTTCCAAGGTGAAGAGTTCCCATCACTTTCTTCTCTCACCGTATGAAAACAGTTCCATCTTCTTGGGACATATTCTGGTTTAGTGGGGACACAGTCCAGGGTGACAGGGTTTAGCGCTACAGATCCAGCTGAATCCTGCCTGGGGGCAGGGGCTGGATAATGTTCTCATATTGGCCTTTTCAGAAACAGCAGCCCTGTGGAGATGGTCACATCAGGAATCAGTTGATGATTCTAACAACATTTTTCTGGGCCACAATGGAGAGCTCAGAGCTGATCAATTTACAAACATTATTGAATTATTTCTCTCTAAATCCAGGACCTCCCTTAGACCTGCCCCTCCTCTGTTTGTGCCCCTCTCCATGAAACATGTGGTTCACCGGGCCAAAGGCCCATGTCCCTCCTATAGACTAGGCTTTGCCCCAAGCTCCCTGCTAGGGTTGCATCCCCAGGTCTGAGGAGTGGCCAAGGTGGCCGTTTGCAGGGGTGTGGACAGAGCGTGGGTGTGAAGGCGGGGATGTCCACATGCATTCTCCTGAGGACCTTTGGGGTGTGGAGTGTGCAGGAGGGGAAGAGCAGGGGAGTGGCTATGGGTGGGGGCTGAGGACTGGTGGGTGGCTGTCACTAGGCTGCCACGTTTTGGTGCAGAATTTCTGAGAATCCTACATTCAAACCTGGCTTCCGGGTCGGTAGGCAGGTATATTTGTCAAGGTAGGAAGATAGGAGACACTTGATTTGATCGTTCTTTTAGCTTATTGAGAACATTAAGATATTGAGACATGTTGTATATGGTCCTCCATTTGTATTCTAGCTCCGGTGCCCCAATGTTGGGGATGGTTTGCCTAAATCTATTATTTTAGATACACAATGGAGTTTCTCTCTCTACTCAACAGCTGCCAGGATTTTCCAGAATTTCTTCAGGCTGGCTCCAAATTTCACTGCTTGGAGAAGCCAAATGTCAACTTAAGATCCATATTTTCCACTGCACCTTCCCCCGTCTGGACATTTACGAAAATGTTAATTAATCGTGGTTGTGACAGAAACCTCTGTGTCAACTTCGCCACCATTCAGACAAGTATCTTTGTTCTCTCTTCTTAAGTCATTTTGTCTGTGTTTGTATTTGTGCCTCATCCACTTCCAACAGGGATTTGAGGTGGTTTACAACAAAACCCACAGATATAAGGGGGCAGTTAAAGAAACTGCCTGAGGAAATCTGCCCAGGGTGAGGCGAGGCTGTTCCTGCAGGTGAACGTTACATTTGGTTCTAGATTTCCTGGCAGTCAAGACAAAATGCGAAACCAGATGGGGTGTGTGGTGCTTACTGCTGATGAAGAATGCCTGAGTCCTTTCAATCAATGAGTATTTTCTCCTGGCCTGCGATGCTGAGAGGAACCTCTTATGTGCATTCTTATATAAGGGGCCCTGAGTGACCAAATGGGCAAACGTAATTTTGCAGAAGATTCAAAGCTTTTCCTATAGCCTTTGTATCGACCCTTGATAAAAGCCGAGGCCTAACATTAAATAATACTTTGGTGGAGTCTTCTCCTTGGGATCTGGACTAATGTTGTCTGAATATGTTGCTTTCCTGTGTCTCTGTGATTCAGTGGAACATTGAGAAAACCTAGATGAATGGGGTGGTTACAATGGCTCCTGAAGTGGCTCTGAACGTACTTCTTAACAAGACAGGAAATTCTGAAGCCGTAAAAAGATCGATAGATCTGACTGCAAGGAAATAAAAATATTCTGGGTGACAGAAGATACCAGAAACAAAATCAAATGGGAAATGATAGAGGGAAAATATTTGCGAGATGTGTGACAGACAAAGCGTTAACATATTTAGTAATATAAAGAGCTCTCAAAAGCAAATCTCAATAGAAAAATGGACAAAGGATATGAATAGGTATATTTTGTGGCTGTGTATATATGGTTGGTTTTATGTGTCAACTCGTCCTGGCCATAGTACCCAGTTATTCAATTCAATAGTAATCTAGATGTTGCTGTGAAAGTATATTATAGATGTGGTTAACATCTATAATCAGTTGACTTGTAAATCTTCAATAATCTGGATGGGGCTCATCCAATTAATTGAAAGATCTTAAGAGCAAAAACTGAGGTTTCCCCGAGGAAGAAGAAATTCTGCCTCAAGCCTGCAGCATCAGCTCCTTCCTGAGAATTTCCAGCTGCTGGTCTGCCCTACAGAGTTTGGACTTGCCAGCCCCATAGTCACGTAAGCCAATTCCTTGAATTAAATCTCTCTTGATATATATATTTCCTACCGGTTCTGTTTCTCTGGAGAATCCTGGAGATACAATATTATATATGATAGTTTAATAATAGTTTCATAATGGTCAACACTGGCTGAGAATTGGGGAAGCAGGCACTCACACATACACCATTGGTGGGAGTATACATTGGGGCATTTTGGAGAGTAATTGACAATGTCTGTCAAAGTTATAAATGCAAATTCTTTTGACTCAGCAATTCTATGGCTATACTTGCAAAAGTCTACCAAGATATGTCTACAAGGATGCTCACTGTAGTATTTGGAGGAGCAAATAATTCAGCAATTGGGACTGGTTAAATAAACTCTAGAATATTCATACGACACACATTGTGAAACTGATAAAAGAATGAGGTAGATCTGTATGTGCTGTTTGGGAAAAACTACGTTGTTAAGTAAAAGAAGAAGGGGCAGAGAGGTGTGCCTGTATGATGACTTATGTGTACTTCACTTAGGTGTGTGTGCCTCTTATGCATAGCTTCTTTCAGGGAGGCCACAGAGGCTGACAGTGTTACCTCTGAGGTTCTGGGGGTGGTGAGGTGGCAAATGGAGAGAAGACTTTTACTTTTTATTTTATCTCCTTCTATGCCTTTTTTTTTTTTTTGACATTGCTTGCATTACTGTTTAAAAAGTGTTAACTGGGAGTATTTCAGAGCGGGCATTATTGGCCATATTTTCTTTTTGGACTTTCCTGTATTAAAAAGCTCTAATAAATGTAATAAACCAGTTGATGAAGTAAATTCATACATGAGTGATCTTTTACTTAACCTGGAATAAATCGCTTTTCTACAGAAGAGAACAAAAGATTGGCAATGGACACACACGTATATTTAACAGTGCTTGTTTCTGTGTGGGGGGATTAGGAGTGATTTAAAATGCATTCTTTGTG